CTATGAGAGTAGGAGAGAGAGAGAGAGAGAGAGAGAGAGAGAGAGAGAGAGAGAGAGAGAGAGAGAGAGATACATTGATGCATTAAATAAGACACGACGATATTCTAGCTATTGTCCCAGTGGGAAATTTTTCTTGGATCTACAGAAATTATAAAAACACAAGTAGATCTAGTATTATGTAGATATAGATCTACTTAAAAACTAAATTATATAGCCTACAATGTTGGCCCTATAGGCTTATAACTATAATGCTATTACTTTCATAACATAATATTATGAAGAGAATGATTCAGCTGACAGTAATACCCTTTCACGTCAGATGCATTTTTCAACCACAGGCAGGAATTTATCACATACCTTTTGAGTTATTATGAAATATAGCTAATCACGAATTATTATTTCTCGATTACATTCAGAGAGCACAGTAGGAGGGTCGAGGCAGATTATCAACATCTATTATTCTTACATAAAAAAAAAAAATAAGATACGGTACAGGCTGGTTTATAATTAAAAATCGCAAACTAAAGAACAAAACTAAGCCGCCGAGAAAAACGGGCACAACAGTTTCTTGCAACATCATTCAGGCTTGAACCAATGGCGTTTTGACGGGAGTATCCCTTTCCAATGGATTCAGTGTTCTTGTTTTTCGATTGAAGTTATCAACTTTGCGCGGATTCAAGGGAAGCAACTCAAAAATTAAACCCTTGTTTGCTTCCGACAGGCTGGAGGCTGTTGACCTGTTGTAAACTTCCTGACTGACCGATGTCAAATTATTATGACGATGCGTCGAATTAAATGAAGCGTAACCAGTTAACCAGTCTGCCAGTCTTGTTAGTCTTTCGACCTTGGTTTGATTTGATAGAGGACTGAGCTCAGGCCTGTGAGTAAACTAGATCTAGATATCTAGATCTAAATCTTCAAGAACTGACTAATTTTAGCGAACCGACACATTTCGTCTTTCCTTGTTTTGTTTTTGGTGTATCTCAAACTTGTCAAACTCAAGCTTTGTTTACTTACTAGATCTAGATTTAGATCTAGATCTAGATCTACGCGTATAAAATATTACCGAGTAGCATCCCTTGGACCAGCTCTAAAAAATCAAGATATTTCAGAGAGAGAAGAGGGGAGGAGTTGATCTTGCGAGAACTTACGGGCGGGTGAGAATAGCCACTTTCAGGATATATTATATAATAGAAGTCTGGATTCTCTAGGGCCTAATATAGATCTACTAATTAAGTAATTAGGCCTACCTATTGCCATTTATTAAATTATTTTATAATCTTACTGTCCTGTTGTCCGAGCGATGAACGTGAGTCCGGCTGGATTGTACTTTTTTGGTGGATCCACTTACCACACTTACATTAGCTCCTCATCATCTGTGATCATCACAGCAAAATTCATTTATTCAAGGACCAATTGTCATTAGCTGGCATTTCTTCAACCTCAGACTCAGTCTGCTGATTCAGGTTGCCTACCCCTTCCATGTAGATCTAGATTCTTAGCCTGCCAGTCGAGCCGCACTTGGCCATACAGGCACTCATTGACCAAAACCGGTTGAAGAGTACACAGGTCTTATTATATAATAATGATCATTCCGGTTTAACCTGCACTGTCTGTAAGGCACCTTTTGGTTTTGTCTCAAATACAAATGCTTTAGGTATTGCAAACTAAAAAATAATTTACAATTCAGTAGAGCCCTATTTTTTTGGTTTGTTAGTCTAGCCGTCATTATAGCTCGGCTAGCCACAGCGTAGCTTTCTAATTTCTAGCCGTCATTAAGTAGGCAGGCCAGTCAGTTTAGCCGTCATTATGTATGACGAGCCTGCTTTTCCTATGATAATTACACTGAATTTTCTAACTGTATGTGTTACATAAATTTCTCATTGCTCCCACAGGAAAAAGAGAAAGAATACACACCGAGTGGTAGCCTAAATCTATCAAGTAGGCTGTTTTTTTTAAAAACTGCCACCTGTAAGTAATCACCTAGATTTATATTCTATAGGCCCTGTTGGCCTATTTACATATTTTTTACTAGTTCTTTCAGTTAGTGGAGTCGCCCGTACTGAACATGGATAGTTGAAAACAGTGGTAAACCAAGTTAAGAAAGTAAAATCCAAGATTTTTTTCTTTGTCTTTGTTTAAAAGAGATTTGTGAACATGATCCCATTTCTAAACCCCAAAAAATTTTGAGGAAATTATGACAACTAAATCTTTACTATCAATCCTCAGCTAACCAAATCAAGTCTTATAAAGCTTAATTCAAGGTAGTGAAACAGGAGAATCTAGATGCGAGATCGACACGTGGGGCAAAAAGTTCAAGAAATTGGTTGAAAAAGCACCCAATTCAAAGGTTGTACACTTTCAAATAGCTCGATAATGAATGTAAGAAACGAAAATCATCTGCTCAAACTAGAGGGTTGTGTTAAACCCAAAACCGCTATGACAATGTAATCCGAAAGAAATTTCCTTTATATTCTCAATATTTAAGAAAAGGGACACATCCTATTCACAGCCCATGGCAAGGTGTGAAGAAGGGGAGCAATGGTCAGTTTTACGGTACAGCTCTGAGACTTCATGCAGCATTATATCACTATCTGTTCCAGACATGAGAGCAATTCAATTCCCTGGTTATTTAGTCAATTTTGTGCTAGTGTTTTAATTTTTCTTTGTGTAATTTAGAAAACAAATGATTAGTGTTACCAATGGAACCCTCTTTTCTGCTTCCCCAGTACACTGGACAAGATATACAAATGTTTGTTCCTGAAATTGAATATAAATGCATATTGTAGTTAGTGCTGTTCCTCTAGGTTTTATGTTCTGAGATTACACCAGTGTTTTTAATGTATTGTGGGCTTTTTTCAGATTTTGAAGAAGATTCTGAATTATTCGGAAAGAACATTTTGTAATGTAACTTGGATGCAAAGCAATTCAATGATGCTTATCTTCAATTATAAGGGCAGAGTGCACGTAGAGATGTAATACAAGTTTCTATAAAAGTTGTGAGACACAACAGTGAGGGATTCAGATATATACAGTCCGTGCCGGCTTTAAGCACGCCGACATAAAGCACGTTCCGGATTCAAGCACGCTAAAGGGCTCTTACAGAATTTTTTGTGATATAAATTACACGCCTTTAAGCACGGTAACTCCGGCTTCAGGCACGCTTCATTTACAAGACAGTCAATACTTTCATGATGACCCATCGAATTTCGAAAACAGTCTAAACCGCAGCAGTGAGTGTGTTAAGAGAAACACAAAGAACGCAATTGACCGAGACACACACTGACACGCGTAGAGAGGAAGGCAGAGAGATGCACACAGCCACACACGTGGACCTAGGGCAAAGCTACACACAGACCAAAAAAAAAATACAAAGAAAATCGTGGTGACAAGAATGGGAGGCTGGCTGAGATTTCGCCTTTGACCCTCGCTATCCATTAATCCTGATTGTGTATCACATGCGAGGTGGAATGAAGGCGGTGGTAGTGGTATGAATATGGCACAGCGGGCAATGGTACGCACAGGCAATGTAGTGTAGGCCTAGTGTGCTGTATCGTGACTGGCCGTCTAAATTCAGTTTTCATTTCCCATTCGACCACAAAACAAAAACAAACAAGCAAACAAAAACTACCATGGCTGATTAAAATAACGGTGCACACTTTTGCGGGACCGCTATAGGCCTACTTACAATTTAAAGGGAAATAGCACAAGAAATTTTCTACATGAAAATCTCTGGATTATGTCTACTTCTCACTCAGGCACGCTTCGGCATTAAACACGCTTAAGCTTTCTCCTGATGACTGTGCTTAAAGCCGGCATAGACTGTATTGCATTTAAGATTTCAGATATGATGTAATGGATGGTTTGGTATGATCTAATGGTTTAAATTTTTTTTCTCACTAGGTAGCGGAAAGTCTTCAGAGAAGAATGCCTGAGCGGGGTAACTAAATTTTTGTTTTCGATACAAATGTCAATGGAGTAAAATGCCTAGATCCCCTTAGTGGAATTCGATGTACAATGGCATATACAGCATACATAAATATGCAATAGTTTATCAACTTTACATGATTACAAAATCACACAAAATTGCAGACAATCGTAACATGCAATAGGTCGCTTTTAAGGACAAGTGGGCTAATCCAGATTTCAGGGGTTTCCAGAAATCTTGACCGACACCAAAAGTGAGCTTTGCCCTACCTATAGGAGAAGTGCAGTTTGGTTTCATTGGTGTGTATATATTTGTTTGGTTATAGAGAAAACTCTCCTTGTCTTTCAAAGAGACTGAATAAAGATCCAAAAACTTTAACTTTGATTTTCACTAAACAGCATTTATTGGGATAGCCCCCTTATGCTTAAAAGTGACCAATTGTTGGGTGCTACTGTGCAGTGCCCTTTTTGTGAGCTGAGTTCATCTTGTTTTGCTCAAAGACCCACCCTTTTGACCACCCACCCAAATGCAATGTTACTAACACATATTTGACATTATTGTGAACCTGAACTCAGAAGCCTCTCAACTACTGGAGCATGTGAAAAATGCAAGACATGGATAAAACATTGGATTGTGTTGCAAGATGTATGTTAACCCCCCCTCCCGCCTATCACCATTACTGTTCATGTTTGCCGTTGAGATGAAAACTTTTCTACCTTCCGCCCTCAATCCGGTTTCATCATCATTTTACCTTGAGGATTCCCAGCCCATGATGCTTCGTATGTGATGTTGGTGGTCAGTCTAGCTTCCTAATTCTTCCTCCTTCCACTTCTCTCCCCCGAAATGATCTCTTGTCTGCCCATCCAGTTTTTCTATTTTCATTTTTATATAAATATGTGAAAATTCTGAGAAAAAGTGTAATGAATAAACATTTGAGAGACCATGGAAATGATGAGCGCACTCTTGATGTCTGCTTGTTCTTGGTATTATTGTAAACTTTTCCATGTGAAATTGTAATGTTTTTTAATTCATTCACTCTCTAGCACTACACATGCTATAGGCTATGATTACACAGCTTCAACAATTCGGAATATAATCTAATCCCAGAGAATTGGGAGGCAGACTATACAACAAGAAAAATATTCTGTGTTAGTCATGTTATTTGAGGCACACAAAACCACAATAGGGCAAGTCTGAGGAAAAAGTAATTATACATATATATATATGGCATTTAACTACCTCAGAATTACAAAGATTGTCTGCACATTACCTAATTTTGAGAAATTGGACGTCAAAGATTTTGAGTTTCACATCATGCCAAGTTTGTCAAATGCCATTCTTTGAATATTTTGATAATGACTTTGAATGATCTTACTATTTTGATAGAGCAGATAGAACATTTGGTTTCTGATTAGTAACTCAAAACGGTAAAAAATGTCAGATAGAACTTTGTAATTCTGAGGTAACGATTTATATAGTGCTCTACCCCGAGTCCACAAGGTCTGAGTGCTTTACAATACAACAGTAACATATGAAACAGTGCATTGTGTTCTGGCCAAGAAAATCTCTATATCTCATTATTAATTTAAAAACAGAAATGACATTGGAATGAATTGAAAGGATTTGATATCTCTTGGGCTAAGCATTCCAGATCTTGGGGCATGATATACAAATTAAATGCCCTTTCACCCATTGTTTTAAGTTTCATAGATGGTAAAATAAATTTCATTTTGTCAGCTGATACCTTTTACTGTGAGTTTGAATGTACTGTTTCAACAGATTTGATAAATATGTTGGTTCATTATCATTCAAACATTTGTGACATAGAATGGCCAATTTGTATACAATTCTTTTATCAACAGGAAGCCAGTGAAGTGTCCGTAAAAGATATGTAGCAGAGTCTCACTTTCTTTTCTGTAAAACTAAACACACAGCATTGTTTGGGATAGTTTGAAGTCTTTTCACTTCCTACAGCAGCATTCCTGATTTCTAGAGTTACAATAGTCAAGTCTTGATAAAACTAAGCTATTTACTAATACAGCAGTATACTTAGTATTGATTAGATGACATTTATTGATTTTCCTTATTTATAAATATATCTGCAACTGATCAGATGATTATCTCAGCTGACATTGACAAATTGGAATAAAAAGAGATGCCAAGATTCTAAATTTATCTTTAAATGCAATTTCCCCATCATCAATTTTTATGTGATCGTTGTGAAGTAGGCCTACAAGTATTGGTTCGCTAATTGGAACATGTCTATATTTTTCTTTTTCTTAGTGAACTGCGGTGTCAATCTCGAGACAAAAATTGTCTTCTATGAAATAGACGCCCCTCCGTTGAAGAAGTGTCGCTTTACATTTGTGGTGGAAGGTGCCGAAGGGTGAGTATAGTGATGTGGTGAGTGGTGTATGGGCAGAGTCAAAGATCAGCTAGGGTTACAGATAATTGTAAAGTACACAAGGCATGCTGTAGACTGTAGAGCTTGGATAGTGCTATATAAATGCAAATTATTATTACAATGGAACGCCGATGCAATAAGCTCGGATTCAACGAGGGGAGATGGAATCCCCATTTTTTAATTAATTAAAATCAATAAAAATAAGTCGGTTTCAATGAACACATAAATGAGCAAGCTCTGATTCAACAAAGTGGCTTGCAAGGTGAACAGCCCCCGCTGACGTGGCTTCGCTCATTTTTCTCCCTCAATGAACTTTTGTCTATTCCTGGAAACCATCCTTGGCATCTACATTGAAAATCACTATTCGCTTAGCATCTTATGCGATCGGTCGGCGGCCTTCTTTCATACCAACACACGCGTTGATGGTGTGCACACATATCTTAATATGTGTTGAGGTCGGACGCGCGCGCGCGCGCGCGTGTGTGTGTGTGTGTGTGTGTGAGTGTGTGTGCATGCGCGTCTGTGTGTGTACGTGTGTGCGTGCGTCTAGAGGGAGGGGGCACAAGTGATCTGGGCGTGGAACATCAGCAGTAGAGATACAAAATGCGTCACCACACAGTACCCAGTCATCCCCCCCCCAATTGTAGGCAAGTCTTGACTTAAATCTTTGTAGTGAATTGTGCGCTTGTCTGAGGAATCAAATGTTGCTGTATGCTAGGCTATACCCAGCAACAGAACTTGTTCGGGAAACAATACGTCATAGGTGACACAGGCATGCAAATTTGAATTAATCAGACCCTTTGCAGAGTATGTGCTTGGTAGGATCCAGTGTATCTTCCCAGAATTTTCCAGCATTTCTTCGGTATGGCACAAAGAAACGAAAATGCCTCTCATTTGAAACCAAACTACTTTTGATTGAGGAAGTCAAATACATTATACAGTACTTGCCCGGTGCCTGTAATTATCTACACAAAAACCTCATGTTAGCTATATTATTTATCTAACACTCAGATTCAACGAAATTGAAGGTCAGGCCGGACGACTTCATTGAATCTGAGTTCCACTTTATTATTATTATTTTATTATTATTATTATTAGTAGTAGTAGTATAATTATTATTACATATTTACCTCAAATTAAACCTTACCAATGTCCATGAAAGTAAGATACAGTGGAACTTGGATTCAACAAAGTCGTCGCACCTGACTGTGAATTTTGTTGAATCCGAGTGTTTGTTTTAATAGCAAACATGAAGTTTTTATAATTACAGGCACCGTGCAGATAGTGTCTATCGTATTCGACTTCCTCAGTCAAAAGTAGTTTAGTTTCAAATGAGAGACATTTTTGTTTCGTTGATGCCATACAGAAGAAATGCTGGAAAATTCCAGGAAAATACACTGAACTCTACCATGCACACATTGCACAAAAGAGCCGATTTGTTCAAATACACGTGTGTTTTATCTATGATGTATTGTTTGCAGAACAAGTTATGTTGCTGTGTAGAGCCTTGCATACGGCAACGTTAGGTTCCAGACAAATGCACAAATCCTTATTCAGAATCAAAACTAGCTTATCATTGTAATATACTGATCAGTAGCCAGGTGGGAAAAATGACTGATGTGGTTGTATCTCTAACGCGTTTCACACCTGGGCCACATGTGCCCCCTCCCCCAAGGCACATGTACACACAGTCACACGTGTGCTGGATGCCTGTTCGACCCTGACACTCGCTAAGACATGTGCTTTTGCTAACAACGCGTGTGCGGGTATGAAAGAAAGCCACTGATTGGTCAAATAAAAAATAAGCAATAGGCGAAGCACATATGGTTCACGATGCAGATGTCATGGATGGTTTCCAGGAATAGATAAGGTTCACTGCAGGAGAAAAATGAGCTTGGCCACATCGGTGAGGACTGTTCACCCTGCAAGTAACTTCATTGAATCCGAGCTCATTCATGTGTTCGTTAAATCGGAGTTACTTTTATTGATTTTAATGAATAGAAAAAATGGGGAATCCATCTCCTTTCGTTGAATCCAAGTTTTGGTTTAATATGAGATTTGAATCCGAGTTCCATTGCACATACATGTACCAGAAAAATTAAGATAATGATTAGGAGAAAACAATATCTCTTGAAAATAAAAGAGCAATAACTGATATATAGCGAATTCAAAATGTTTGCAAAATACAAAATGGATAAAACGAAAAAAAAAAAATAGTGATAAAAAAAATCCAGTATAAAAAATATAAATGAGGCATTATGGTGAAATCAGGTGCTGGTCAAAATACAATGGAGTCCGCTTAAAGTGAACTCTTTGGGACCAGAAGAAAATGTTCACTTTATCCAAGGTTCAGTTTAACCATTTTGGTGGGGTGCAGGCCTAGAAACAGTAGCTACACGCAGTGGTGGGTCAAGGGTGGAGGTGGGGTGGGGGGACAACACAGCAGGGAGCCTAGATTAGAGCCCTTTCTTTCTGATTGAGAATGGTGTCGCCAACGCCGAGCTGGGTTTGTCTGCCGATGCCCAAGGCAAATAATTTTATTTTTACAGCATGGCCACAGTGACACAGTTGGTCCGTTCTTTGCTTTCACTCATTTTGGACGTTCACTATCCGATTTCCCCACGAAAGCAGTTCATTTTGTCCACCGTTGTTTTTTACTTAAACAAATAGCGTTCCGATCGGGATCACTGAATATTGTTCATTTTAACCGATTGTTCAAATAAAGCGTGTTCCCTTCAGGCGGACACCTCTGTAATGAAATAGAAGAAATTGTCAGTGTTTTGCTGTTTGGCAATTTTTATTGATTTTTAACATTTCTGGCTCAACATCTTTTATGCTGATCTAAAAACACATTTCTGTGTGGATTTTTACTGAAAATTGGTGATGAAAGGCACAACAAATGTAAATTTACAGTTTCCAAGGACACTCAAGCTTTGGAAGTCACCAAACTTTGGCGGCCATTTTCTCATTAAGTTTTCCTGACACCAGCTGACCCCAACTCTTTCAGTAAAAAATCATATATTATATGAACAGCCAGACAAACTGGATATTCAGTCCCAGTGAGGCTGCTCCATTAATAACAATAATAGATTGCTTATAGCTCACTATCCCATAAGAGTATTAGCTCTGAGCGCTTTACATCAATCACATGAACACGAAAAAGTTACAATTCATTCATGCTGGATAAAATATTTCACTGTAACAAGGAAAACCACATAAAGAGAACCATCACATCACATCAATCTGAATATACAAGTAGGGACAGCAGTAAAAACAAAATTACACTAGGGAATAAAAGTTCATGTATTTTTGTTTCCAGGCGTACACAGCAAAGTGAAAGTTCAATCTGTTATGTTCTTTTTTTTTCCTCAGGGCTAGTGGGCAGGCGGTAGCTCGGTTCCAGGCTTGGGATGGCGAGTCCTTGGTGAGGGAAAATGTGTCCAGCCAGTTTCCTGCAGGATCTATCTGGAAGGTTTGTTTGTTTTAGTTTTAGTGTGGGTGAGACTTTGATAACAGCACTTGCAACACAAATAGGTCATGGTCAGACCAGCCACTCTGTGAAATCTAAAAATCAGGATTTCAAGGGGGAAAAAAATCAGGATTTGGTGAAAAAACTCAGGAGCATTGACAAACCACTCCAGGGTGACTGCCAAGTTGATACCAATTTTTCCAGGGGTGGCCATTCATTCTTCTGGGGTATAGTATATACCGAATGCAAATGTTGGCACAGGTATAATATGTGTCACGACGCTGTGGAATCAGGTGTTCGTCAATCTTTTGGGCTTGCAAAGTTATTGATATCATCTTAAAGCTTTTCATTTGTCTTGCTTAGTACGAAAAAAATTCCTTTATCTTGAACAGAATTCGAGATATTTGTGAATGAAGGAGGTGGGGGTCACCTGGTTTCAGAGGTCGATCGGTGAGAAAATGACCGCCAAAGATGAGTTATTTCCTTAGCTTGAGAGGCCTTGAAAACTGAAAATTTACATTTTTGTGCCTTTATACAACGTTATTCAGTAAAATTCACCCAGAAATTATGCGATCTATAATGGGTATAAAAAGTGTTGAGCAAAAAAAAAAAAATCCGATTAAAATTCACAAACTTGAGGAAAAATGCCAGTTTCTTCTCTTTGATTATTTTGACGAGTGCCTGATTTCCCCACGCTACCTCACATATCTGTATATCTGGTTGATAAAAGTAATGAGTAGAATCTGAGAATGCTTGTGAAGATTGACGATTTTCATGTTCAGAGTAGTGAATTCAAATACAATGTATCAAAATGACTTGGGGTATCTTGACTGATAACACTGTTATTGATGCAACTTTCCTCAGGATTCCATGCAAGTCAAAAAAGGAGATGTCTGCAATGTTGTGGTGGGCGTGAAGAAAGATTTCAACCTGGCGGACTTAAGACCCTAGAGAAATATTGGTCTGAGTGCTGTATAATTGGGCCTCACTATCACTGACTCATGCTTAACTCATTCACTACATAATTTTTTTACTCTCTGGGTTGCAATTTCTTCCGCCAGCAGTCAAATGTATACATTTCGTTTTGTCCATTGATTCTCTTATTTGCTAAGCAAAGTATAATCTTATATGAAATGAAAGGAAATTGAAAGGGGGATTTAAAAAAAAAAAATTTTTTTCAACCAAAAACATACAGTAAAAGTCCTCGAATCTGGAACACGAAAATAACGAATTTTCGGGTACCTCGAACATAATGCTCGGTCCTATTTCAGTCCGTATGTTTTCTTTGTGTTGATTTCACGGAGTTCCCAAACACGCACCAACACGCAACACTGAAATCTCGAACAAATCCACTTCACATTCTCAACTAAACACCCAGCTTTACAGCCTTTCTGGCCACTGGTAGGTGTTTCTTTGCTATTGTTACTGCCAAAACGTGGTCCTTGTACTGGAGGAAGGGGGGACGGAGAAGGGAGGTTGGGGAGTGATGCTGACTGCACCGCATGACTGGCTCGCCATTTGTGCAATCATGTTTTGGGGCACACGTGATGCGGATGGCAAGAGGCGTAACTTTCTGTAAGCCAATGAAATGAGAGGAAAGGAATGTTGAAGAAATCGGCTTTGCACACAAGAGATTTTTCTACTTTCCCCTTTCTTTCATCTTCTTGCTTTCACACCGTCAACACCTTCATCACCCCTATCTGGTTTTGTTAACCTAATCTTCATTGTTACAACTTAGCCACTTAGACTTAAGAGTGATGGCAGAGAAGAGGAAACTCAACTGTCTCACGTTTGAGAAGAAACGGGAAATCCTGACTCTTGTGGATAAAAAAACAATGAGCAAAACAGACATTTGCAAGCAGTTCAACATCCCAAAGTCAACCCTGTCCACCTTCATCAAAGATCGGGACAAAATCAACAGCCGCAGTGAGGCATGCCAACCAAACAGGAAAAAGCAACGCACAGTTAAGTCAGATGCCATTGAGAAATCTCTGTTTGTTTGGTTTAAGCAAGCCCGGGCAATGGCTATCCCCATATCAGGGCCGATCTTGATGGCGAAGGCAGAAGAGATCGGGACAGAGATGGGCCTTGATTTCAAAAGCAACACTGGCTGGCTTGATCGTTTCAAGAAACGCTATGGCATCCTGTACAAGTACAAGACCGTCTGTGGGGAGTCGGCTGCTGTCAAGACTGAGTCATTAACCCCAGTGGAATCGCGAACGAAGGGTTTGTTGACATTGCTGAGAGACTTTGAGCCCAGAGACATATACAGCGCAGATGAAACAGGCCTGTTTTATCGGTGTCTCCCTTTCAATACACTTGCACTCAAGGGAGAGAAATGCAGTGATGGAAAAGCGCCCAAAAACCGACTCACGGTGCTGGTTGCTGCCAACATGGACGGCAGTGACAAACTGCCATTGCTTATCATTGGGAAGTTTGATCGACTTCGCTGCTTTAAATATTGCAAGTACCTGCCCCTGCAGTATAAGGCCAACAAGAAATCGTGGATGACGGCGGCCTTGTTTGAGAGCTGGGTGAGATCACTGGATGCCAGTTTCAAGTGTGAAGGAAGGAAGATTGCACTCGTCGTTGATAACTGCCTTGCCCACCCTGACATTGATGATCTACATGCCGTGACACTGATGCGACTTCCCTCCAACACAACCTCTGTACTTCAGCCATGCGACCAGGGCATCATCGCATCCCTGAAAAAGCACTATCGAACAATTGTCTTGCGCAAACTCATTGCTTACACGGATCACGGCAAGAGCGCTGATACCTTTGAAATGTCGATTCTCGACGCCATGTATGAGCTGAAGGCTGCATGGAATCTTGTCTCCTCTGCCACAGTGGCAAACTGCTTCAGGCTCGCGGGATTTGTGGTTGGAAGTGAGCAACCACCTGACGATGCTACACCAACAGCAGACATCAACAAGGAAACACCAACTTCACCTGCACCCACCTGTTATGGCACGGACGACCTGTTCGAAGCAATGGCAAAGAAATTTCTGCCACCAGGAGTCTCCCTCAAAGACTTTTTCTCAGTGGACGATGCTGTCGAGACAACAGGACAGCTCAGCACAGAGGAAATCTGTGCCTCTGTTAATGTTACAGATAGCGAAGAACAAGAGCAGGATGACAGTCCCACTCCTTCATCCATCCCAACTGTAGCAGAGGCACGGGAGGCTCTACAAAAACTTAGAGAGTTTATCCAGGCTCACGACTTTTCCCAAGCTGAACAATACGTCAATGTCCTTGGCAATGTTTCCTCCGACATTGAGATGGTGTCACTGAAGAGAAGGAAGCAATCTTCCATTACGGATTTCTTCCAAAAAGTGTAGTGATTTTTCATTTGAAATGGAAATATTATCTTTAGTCAAAATACTCTGTTTTCTTTAGTCAAAATACTCTGTTGGTTAGGCCTAATACTAATATCGGAGCAATAGAATAATACTGTACATGAAAAAATCATACCGTAGGCACTTATTTTTAGTCATAATGTACACTAGAACATGACAGGCAGTCAGCGGTGTGCATTGTGATTGGCCAATCCAGTGATGAGCGAGGTGGGGCAGGCGGCAGAGAGAGATAGTGGGGAGAGATTCGTTACGTGAGCCACTCCAAAAGTGAAGTGCCAAAGCCTAGACGCTCAGTATGAGAGCATATAGGCCATAGCCCTAGGCCTAAGCGAGGCCAAAAAGTGAAAGAAGAGGAGAGCGTGTAGATCTAGTGTGTGATTCCTGATTCTTTGAATGGTGATCAATGATGCTCAGGCATACACATGCATCCACTTCACCAGTTCTACAGTAGTGGGCCTACCGGTACAATAGACAGCACAAGCAACAAGACCAAGGAAAAGATGGCTTCCAACAAAGACAAAAGGAAATGCTTCTCTCTTGAATTGAAGGCAAAAATAATCAGACGAAGTTGACAAGCATATTTTAATTTTATTGATATGGAAGGCGGTAATTATTATGTGGATTTTAAGAAGTTTTCCTGTAATTTCCCCTTTGCATTCCTATAGCGGGAACTTGCTTGCAGCTGGATTTTTCTTCAGGAGCCAAAAGTCCTGCCCCGTGTTCTACTGTACATACCTTGCTGTAATAGTTCAATGTCTGTTCTGTTTTACTTCAACCAATGTTACCTTGCCTGTTATTTGCTGGAAGGCTTACATCGGAAATGTACCGGTATTGTTTGTTCATTTGTTTAGTTTAGTTGCTTTTGCTATAAAATTGTTGTGGAAAATTTAAAAAAACAAAGAAGAAAACTGAAAAGAAAAATCAAAACATATCACAGATACACATGCACACACGCACCCGCCCACCCATCCATTCACTCCACACAAACACACACACCAAGAAAACAAAATTTTTAAAGTCTGACTCAGAGCCTTTCCTTGCAACAGCACTGACAATACACGGCCCTCTTGTTTCAAACTTTCCAAACCAAGGGAGCTAACAATGGTAATTGATTTATTTGCCTTTTTACCTCCATTGATTTTCTTTCTATTTTTTGTATTTGAGGCTTTCATGGACATGACGAATTACGGAAATCTCAAACACGATTTTCAATCCCCGACGAATTCGAGATACCCGTGTTCGACTGTAGATAGTATTTCAGAAAATCTGGACTGGAATAAGTGGATTATTTTTAGATTTAGAGGCATATATGATATGGCTCGTTCTTGGGATGGGGAAGATTCTGAGCCTATATGTCGGCTCGCCGTAGTGAATGAGTTAAGGGACTGACATACTATAATATTGTTTTGTCAAATGGTATCTTTTGTTATGTACATTTGAGCCCTCACCTAGGGAACATGCATTAACAATATGCACACAAATAGACCTTCAGTTCCCAGATTTTTTTGGTGAGGCATCAGGGTGAAATCAGGCGCTGGTCAAAATAATGAAATCGAAGAAACTGGCATTTTTCCTTTAGTTTGGTAATTTTTATTGAATTTTTGCTTTTTGGCTTAATGCATTTACATGTCCGTTCAGAAAGACATTTTAGTGTGGATTTTACATAAAACCTTGATTAACCAGTAAGTCTACTTTATCTCCGAGGGAACTCTGACTATTTTGGTACCAAATCTAAAATTGACATTTATAGATCTATATCTCTAAACTGGTCATTAGATTTTTTTAAAAAGTGAATCAATTCCGATAGTTCTTCATCTTATGAATGATCTCCTGGTAAAAAAGACTTGTTTTAGCCAAAAAGTAATTTGATGTAGAAGTCGTGGTAAATGAATCCCCCCGTACTGCTGCCAAGCTGCTCACCGGCACAGCCGTTCCGATCACGAGCCACTGGGCAAGGACTCTCAGGCTTTGTAAGTCACCAAACTCTGGTGGCCCTTTTCTCCCAAATTTTACCTCTGAAACCAAACAAACCCCACATTCTTATTTCGCAAATCTCGACTTCTATTTAAGATAGATGAGTATTTTTTTTTTCATCCAAAGCAATACTTATGAACAAGTTTTAACTTTAAGATGATGATAATAACTCCGTAAGCTAAAAATATTCAACGTCCGCCTGATTTCATCGTGTTGTGACACGTGTATTTCTTAGAAATTTTATTTTTGTCAGAGGGTGACAAATTTCATAGAGGGTTTGCCCATATTATCTGTTTGTTATAAGAGTTGCATAAATATCAAGTGTCCTGTGTCTTTCTTTGGGTGACATGCTACCAGTTACTGCATATATTGTTTGACAATGGTGGAACAACTTGTGACTAGATTAATAGTATATTGACAGTTATGCATATATTATAATCATATCTTAAACTTGCTGATGTTGTAGAATAATCATCATCCTTTGTCATAACGACATTGAAAGTAGCTGGTCGCCATGAAGTGTTTACTCTACATAAATGTGGTCAAGAGGTGTGGTGTTCGCCTCTCATTCAATAGGTCCCAGGTTTAAAACCTTACAATGACGAAAAAATGTTTGTCTCTAAAATTTTTTCCTTTCACCCTCTTTCCTGTTCTCTAGACATGTTCTCTCATTTGCTTTCATCTCCAGTCTAGTCAGTATAAAAACGTACTGAGTATCTTCGAAATCGAAATAATGCGAAATATATGGCTGCCTGAAGGCAAGGGGTCCAACTAAGTAGGACAGTCGGTCGCATATATACGATATATATATCTATTATCTATTTGTGGTGGCCGAATTTTGCTATCCAAAAGGCTTTTTAATGGCTGCATCGATCGACATGCGGTTTTCGCCAAAAGATTCTTTTAAATATTCTCCAGAGCATGACGCCCTTGGTTTTTTCAGTTTTTAGACAGTTTTGCTGCAAAAAGCTAAATTTCTTTATTTCGCTGATCGCTTTTGTAGGCCGACGCTTCCGTCTCTGTGATTTTAGAAAATCCGGATGTGATATTTCGCGAGGCGCATTTTGTTTTGAGAGTATAGATCTATATCTTTATAATAAAATTGCATCTCTCAAGATTTATTGTCCCATTCCAGTAGAGTGTAAATGTAGTAGGCCAAAGACTTTTAATTGATGTTAAAGCACCGATCATTCCTTTCATCGAAAGGGGGCCCAGCTAATATATATATATA